ACTTTTTTTTTCGATGGAGTGACGTTATATCCCTAAAGAAAACACATGGAATCCAGCTGTCAAGATAGTTCAGATATTCTAAAAAGTATACAAAGCAGCTGACGTAATTTTGCTAGGTGCAGTGGACCAGCTGTTGGAAAGTACGAAGCTCCCCAAACATCTGGTCTGATCGGTGTCCTAGGTTCCAGTTATAAGCTGTCCATGCGTTATAAACCTTGATGCTCTGAGTCTGGAATAGTCTCTGATCCCCCGTTTGTCTCTGGCACTTTAAGAGGCGTTAGTGACGTTTCCGTGAGGAGGTGATGGTAGGGAGAATTGTTTCATGGGGCATTTGGGAAGAAATCTTTCTTGTCATAGTCATAACAACTCTTCCAAATGGTATTTTTTCTTTATGTATTGGCCTCAGGTTCATTAGAAGTGAAAGTTAGGATTATCTTTTCATTTCTTCCTCCCACATTCTTTCCTTCCTTCCTCTCTCCTTTACCCTCCCCCTCTTCTTTGTCCTTCTTGTCCTCTTTGTTCTTCTCTTCTTTTTCCCCTCCTCCTCTTCCTCTCTGTCCTCTTCCTCCTCCTCCTCCTTCATACATCAAAGCCCAGCTGTGCTATTTAATAAACTGTTACCTACAATAAATGCTTGTAGAAGCAAGGGCTATTGTAGCAGTTGGTCATTTGTTGAGTCCTAGCCTTCTATGCATTTATTAAAAATAAACACTCTTTATTGCCCAGCCTTCATATACATACTATGAATATCTGTGTTTTAATATAAGTATAAGAAGACTCTTCATTTTACAGAATCAAGGCCAGGAAGTGTTAGTACGGAATTTCTGTCATGAGAAATGTCTGTGTTGTGCACAAGAGTTGTCCTGTCTACGGTTAAGTTTAAATGATCCCCAAAAAACAGTCAAGGGGGTACCAAACCACTATATGATTGATTATANAGGAAGGAAGGAAGGAAGGAAGGAAGGAAGGAAGGAAGGGAGGGGAGGAATCCCCCAAGGGCTATGGGATAAACGTAGGCTTAGAAGTCAGAATCTCTGGGTCCTCTTTTCAGTTTCAGTCATTTATTCTTTGAAAATGAGACAATAAAAATTATTAAGGCTTTTCTGAATTGGTTTCTATTAAATGGAAAAAATGTATAACCACCCCCACACCAAACACACACACAAATTCATCCCATTCTAAATATGCAAATTGTTGGAAGTAAGATACCAAGTGTTCAAAACACTGACAAAGGTAATGAACGTGCCCCCAAACTACTGTTTCAGCTCATACTATGCTGGAGACAGGGTGGGCAATAAATGACATTGTTTTAAAGTTTTGACAATGTTGGCTGGCATCTTTTAGTATAACAGGAGAGAGGGTGTTAACTGTCTTTATAGTTTTCAAGCATAGTTTCAGTGTAATTTAAAAATTATCATTACAATTTTCCTGCTTCCTGGACAACTTGACAATTTTCCAATGTGTTTAGTTATTCAGTTTTCAATTTGTGCAAGATGGGGTGGGAAAAAAGGGGGCAACTGTAGTCCTGACTCCTAGTCCTAGCAATTATTTTAGTGAGTTTTAAGAAGGCAAGTTAGCCTTCCAAAGTTTCCCATGCTCCCTTAGTTCTAATTTGGACTTAAAAAAATTAATTTTCCTAACTTACTGAGCATAAAAGATTTAGCTATCTCAGTGCTACAGTTTAGAAGGGCAGGTAAAAAAACATCCCTCTGGGCTCCCAGGCTGAACTGAAGCAAGCAGCAATGGCCATGCTCACAGAGGTTCCCAGATCAAGGGGATGTATAGTCTACATGGCATAACGCACCATACATCCTCGCCCTACAAATTTCATCTTGCTTTCAGGAAGGCAGCAATATTAAAAGCCAGGAATGGAAGAGACCATGGGGGAAGGTTCAGAAATTGGAGAGCCCAATTTACCCTTCTATATACCACTCAAGCTCTCCCAGACCCTGAAATTTCTCTTATCTGAATCCGGGACTATTTCCCACGTGGTATTTCCAGTGACGGCTGTGGTTTCTAAGTTGGCAAACACCAGAATAATGTTCACAGGGAATTATTTGAATCTATTTCCAGGACCACTAAGTTCTTGCCTTATAAGCACTCTACTCTGCCTTTTTGCTTTCATTCATTTGTTCACTTATTCAGCATTTATTGAATGTTTACACAGCTATAGTAAACACAGTCCTTATGCTCAGATTGCTCACAGTCCAGAGGGGAAGACAGATATGTGGATAGCAAGTGTAGAGTCCTGTGACATCAGGAACTAGGCGCTAGTGGTGACAGACTGAAGGTAGCAGTGGCCTTGAGGTCTTCTGGGAAATGGATAGTGGGGAAACCTCTGAAGGATGACAAGGAGCAGTCAGGGTGGAGAATATGTAAAGAGGCATTCTAATCAGAGGAGCAGCACGTCCAGAAGCGTGAGGAAATGTGTGACCTCTGCAGAAATATAAAAGATGACAGAGCTGAAAGCGCGCAGAGTGATTTGTAGAATTACAGCCAGTGCTCTAGTTTTCACAATCTAAAGAGTCTGAGTGTTTGGAAACCAAGAACCCATTTAAAAGGACATTTTCTTGATCAGCAGTCATGAAACATGATGGCAGACTGGCGAAAAACGTGTAACTCCTCAGGGCAGAGATTCTGCAATGTGTTGAGCTGGTGATAAAACAAAAGCATCTCATTTCATTTCTTAAGTATGATCAGGAATTCTACCAAGACTATTTTCGTGGTGTTTTGTTTTAACAGTCACCTATTCTTTCCTCACATTCCATGCACCTAAGGTGTTGCTTTCACACGTGTGTAGAAAGAGGTTGGCTGATTTAAAATTTTTGAGGAGCAGGTATTACTTATTTTCATTGTGCAGCCAAGAAAACCGAGGATCAAATGGCAAAGCCACAAAATGAGTCAGTGCAGAGAAAGGATTAGGTTGAAGGGCTCCCAAAGCTTGGTTTGGACGAACCTTCAGGTTCCCGTGGTTAGAAGCAAATACCCTGGAACCCTAGCAGAGTGTGTGTGAGCTGGGGGTTGGGCGGCAGCTGAAGCTGGCTCGGGAATCCACTCGGCAAGAAGCTCTAGGGCAGGAAATACCTCTACCATTGGAATCTATAAAAGGACCTGAAGTTCACAAACACACAATGAACCCTTTTTTCTTATTTTTCTTTCTAAAACCAAGGACTAGGAGTCAGGACTACTGCTACCCCTTTTCTTTCACCTGTGACCCCCAGATCCAGCTGGGGGATGAACTTTCTTCTCCAGCACAGCCCTTAGTATGCAAAACTAGCTACAAAAAAATACTATCAAGAACGTAAAAAAAATCAAGTACAAAAGTGAATAATTATTTAGGAAAGAAATCACAACAGGTAACCAGGTAGCCAAAGACTTGGAGATCTGGGGCTTTTTCTAAAATGTTTTCAGAGGAATTACCAGTGATTCTTACATAGAAATGCTCTCTGATCTCAGCCTGGCTTTCGCTCCACATCTGCAACATCCCACAAGTCCCGGCCACTCCCAGCACCCACAGGGACCCGTGCAGCGAGGGGTGTGAGGCTTATGCTTCACTGGCTTCATGGCTTACCCAGACGTGGTACCGCTGAGGGAGGCTGCAGAATGACTTGGATACACTTCCTGGTTGGCCAGGAAGTCACAGGTTAGGCCTGTTCTTCTCGTTTAAATTTTAATAATCCCCTTTTCATTCTGAAAAAAAAAATCAGTCCTGTTTTGTATAGTAACTTATGTGGTCACCCTATCTATATTGCTCACCTCTGCGATCACACAAGCCGGGCTCAGGTGGGAAGCTTTCAGGTCTAACTTTAGCATCTTCATTGCCTTTCTACCTCAGTTGGACCTGGCAGAACCTCTGTTTCCCAACCTTAAAGTGTGTGTGTGGGGGGGGGGCGGGGGGAGGTGTAATCAGGCTGACCTACTTAGAGTGGGTTGCAAGGAAGATTCTTGTTGTGTGTTTTTCTATCTCCTGAAAAGTCATTATTTTGGTGTGTAAGGCTTCTTTCATTTAGCGATCCAAGAATGGGTAATTAATCCAGTGGATTAAGTCCTCTTTCATGAAGACCCACCCATCTTCTTAAACAACCTACAGGGTGGAGCAGCAGGGCATTCAGGCCTGGTTAAAATGATCACCTGGGCGCCTGTCCATTAGGTAAAGCATTGCGTCTGAATGTGCTATGGAACCAAGAAGTGTTATTGGGCAATTGCTTGGCCTCTGTGGGCCGCATGGTATCACTTCTTCACTATTAGAGAAAGATGAGCAGGAAAGTAAGGCAGAAGAGCTCCACCCCCACGTGAAGCTGGTTTACACTGCTTCACGTTTACACTGCTGGACCAGCAAAAACAAGGCAGCTCCGTTGTGGGCAGGCTACCGGATCCGACACACCACTTCAGAGCCTTTGAGTCATACGTCAAGCACAAATAACCAGGCTTCTTCTTTTTCCTGCCAAAGTCACATGCAATGTCAAGGCAACATCAAAACGTTAAGGTTTAAAAGGCAGTTTCCTCTGAGTGCTGATTTGGGCACATAAACAGTGGCGTGGTTGAATGCCACTCTGTGTTTAAAGTAATTATACTTCAGCCCTGGAATGTGGTGATGGGCAAGCCCCATTACAGCAAACAAAGTTGATTCCATCAGCAAACTCTGGCAAGTCAGCTTCTCCCTGAATTTACTACTTCGTTCTTGGGAACTGTCCCTGGGAAAGTCAGAGCTTGAGGACACGTGTGAGTGCACTGGCCAGCTCTCTAAGTCTGGTGTCAGCTCACAACCAACAATATGTCTGGAAGATGGCTTGGGGACCTTGGCCCATAGCAGCTGTGGTCACTCATGTTCACTGGGAGCCTGTAGAAAATAGCTGAGGCCTCTGGAAGCGGAAGTGGCCTGGGTCTGTGCATTACCCACTGCTGCTGGAGCTGGACCACCATTGCTCAGCAAGCCAGAGAAATCCAGCCAGAGAAAGGCTGATGGAATGGGCAAGGCTTCCTGGGAAGGGTGACATTCTTGAGAGGGAAGAGGTTATGACTCTCAACTGCAGGTTCCAGAAGTTCTGCTTTAGTGGGTCCAGGCAAATGTCTGAGTGGTATAGCCTAATTTCCTCCTAAACAGAAGGACACAGGGGCTCGTTTATCCATTGCCGCTTTGGAATCATACCTTGCTCAGAGAAAAAGACCTAGTAATCACCCCCTCTGACCTAAGTCCTGGCGCCCAGTCCCCTACCATGTGCCAAATCAGTGGAACTTTTCTTGTGTCTGGGGAGAATCATTTCCCTCCATCCATACAGAACTTCCTTCATAAGTTATTGCTGGCAACTCTATTCCTGCTAATTAGCTGCCCTTCTTAAGTTTATTTCATCTAGTTGTAAATTTTAGAGGAGATGTTCCCAGGCCAACTTAAAAGCAGAATTCACAGAACAAGCTGAGTGGAAATAGAGATTGGATGACCTCCACAGAGCAAGTCAAGCCAATTCCCATGGGGTTTGAGCACAGTGTTCCCAGAGAGCCAAGTCTAAGTCCAGTGACAGACCCGGAAGAAGTCTCTTGGAGACCATTTAGTT